TGTTAATCTTAGATAAATTCTTTTTAAATGTAGTGTGATAGAATTAATAGGTTGAATAATATATTTTGATTCGTTAGGTTTGTCAGAAGGACCGCCTTTTCAATTTTGAAACATGTTATGAGCCTTTTATTTCGCCGTGAATATCAAATAACTAGGGTATTTGAGGAGTTTAAAAATATTTTCAATATATTTCTCCTCTTCATGAGGGCTGCATATTCTGAATGCTCTGAAATAATGAAGTATACAAATTGTTTCTAAACTCACCATCTTTTATAAATCTCATAAATTCGCGCAAGACTAAATTTTGTCTCCACATCAGTAATTATGTAGCCCGTAATTCTATTCCTAAATCTTCTATTAATTAACTAATTGATTGATTCATTTTTACGGCTTATCAACAATTTGCAGGTTATTTTAAGCCAGATAATATTTTTGTGTGTAAGTGATTATAACGAACCCAACTGGAATTGGAACTCAGCTCTTTGATCAACAAATCCCACCATTATCCATTACACCACCTGCACATCTAAGCTTGGCGGACTTACTATTTCGAAGTGATCACCCATACTGACCAGGCTCGATGATGCTTAACTTCGGTTATGGTATGCATCTACTATTGAAATCTACCGTACTGGTTTACTATTCATATTCAGTTCTTTTCTATCAGTCGTTTGTTTGTTTAACAGCATATCAACTTCTTATTGGTCATTTAGTGCTAAAATTTAATATTCTTGGGAGCATTACGAATTTCATTTACAAAAATGCATTGCTGGTAAATTTTATTTATTTTTTTACAAAAATGCATTGCTGGTGAATTTTATTTATTTTTTCACAAAAATGCATTGCTGGTAAATTTTATTTATTTTTTTACAAAAATGCATTGCAGGTAATTTTTTTTTTTTTTTTGACAAAAATGCATTGCTGGTAAATTTTATTTATTTATTTTTTTTACAAAAAATGCATTGCTGATAAATTTTATTTTTTATTTTTTTTACAAAAATGCATTGCTGATAAATTTTATTTATATTTTTACAGAAATGCATTGCTGGTAAATTTTATTTATTTTTTTACAAAAATGCATTGCTGGTATATTTTTTTTTTACAAAAATGCATTGCTGATAAATTTTTATTTATATTTTTACAAAAATGCATTGCAGATAAATTTTATTTATTTTTTTACAAAAATGCATTGCTGGTAATTTTTTTTTTTTTTTACAAAACTGCTTTCGTGGTAAATTTTATTTATTTTTTTACAAAAATGCATTGCTGATAAATTTTATTTATTTATTTACAAAAATGAATTGCTGGTAATTTTTATTTAATTTTTTACAAAAATGCATTGCTCGTAAATTTTATTTAATTTTTCACAAAAATGCATTGCTGGTAAATTTTATTTTATTTTTTTCACAAAAATGCGTTATGGTAGTTTTTTTTTTTTTAGTTTTTTTACACAAATGAATTGCTGGTAATATTACTGGTATTTTACTATAAAAATCTATTTTTATATTTTCATAGTGTTTTGACTCTTGTTTTAGGGGTCATCTGTTAGGGTTCCAGCTATTTTCCCATAGTTGGAACCCTAACAGATGCTTCCAACCCGGGTCAGTGTGGACCTGGGATCAACAGCATTTAACAGGTGATTCCACGCTCCTCAAACCTTCCGATCAGAGACCTTGCTGCCGTATATTATTTATCGTCATACCCAGGACGAGCTATCAGTCGTAAAGCTATTCATCTATCTGAATACAGTAAGGTTCTCTCACTAACTACATTTGCCTCTTCCCATTTCTTTCATTGTCATATACATCGCTCTGGACCGCCTGTACCTTTCGAAGTCGATTTCATCATAGTATATTCGCCATAAGCCATTTCTCATAAGGTCTACATTTAGCAAGATCTTTTAACAACTTTCCCGCGAAACCCTAAGCCGTTTTTCATAGGCCTGCGGTTAGAGTTCGAACCTTGGTACGATCAGACAGAAAACCGCCTGTATGACTGATATCAAAACTGTATATGAATAGTGAAACAGTACGCCAGATCTGTCACCCCAGATCGCTAACATCAAGAAGCCATCTCCCTGACAAATCGATTATTGTGAGATTCGAACCCGGGCCGCACAGTCGGAAAGACAACGTTGGAAACAATAACCCTCGCGCTTAATCGTTTGACTACTGTTGTCAGTATCATTCCCCCATTGATGCGTCACTATGCAAGGAATTGTTTCATCGAAAATGTACAAGGCCCGCAATCCACAAATGTCTCTCAGATGATTTTTAATTAAACGAAAACAGTACGTGTGCCTCTTCGTGACGGGACACCTGCTTATAGTGGAATCTTTCATCGCATACATTGTCGCTGCATACGTCACCGTCTAAAACACAGACGGCCCGCTGGTGTGAGTGGTAGCATGTTATGAGATAGATAAAATGCCTCTTGTTTCCATGAACAACAAGAAGCAGAAGGTGAAGAACTGATTAAGCTGATACAAATATATATTTACCTTCTATAACTTTCTTAACTGTCAGCCATTTTTGCATTTTATTCCATCACTGTAACTTATGCCTTTTTATATAAATTACATGGTAATTTTTTTTATAAATTACATGGTAATTTTTTTTTAAATTATATGGTAATTTTTTTTAATAAATTACATGGTAATTTTTTTTTTATAAATTACATGGTATTTTTTTTATAAATTACATGGTAATTTCTTTTATAAATTACGTAGTAATTTTTTTTATAAATTACATGGTAATTTTTTTATAAATTACATGGTAATTTTTTTTATAAATTACATGGTATTTTTTTTATAAATTACATGGTAATTTCTTTTATAAATTACATAGTAATTTTTTTTATAAATTACATGGTAATTTCTATTATAAATTACATGGTAATTTTTTTTATAAATTACATGGTATTTTTTTTATAAATAACATGGTAATCTTTCTGATAAGCTTTCCTCTTTGGTAATTAGTTTGTCACATGTTGCATATACACACTGTGGTTTAAATTTTTAAATTGTTTTTTTATTTCCCCCGCACAAAAAAAATTGTACGTATGAGGACTAGTTAGGATGTCATAGAGATCCTGAGGTACTATGGTGGATGTAGTAAGATTGGTATGTAAGAATGTGTTGTTTTGGCGTAAGGAATACTGTGGTATGTTTGGATCAATAATTGTGGCTAGCTAGGTTTAATTATAATACATATGAAAACCAGCCTTCCCCATCCCATCTTTGGGCTTTGGGCCATATTTTTGCATATTTACAAAATAAATATTGCTTTCCTCTTTGGTACCCCAACTTTACGGATTTAAGCGGTGTACTAGACTGGCAACTAAGTCTCATCATATTACTGTTGAAATGGCTAGACGCAACCGTAAGTTCTATGGCAATATATTCTTCTCTCGTATTTCTCGCTTTTGGAACTCTCTTCCGGTTTCTGACTTTCCAGTCAACCTATTCTTCAAAAAATTAAATGAAATGTCAATCGTAATCGTCTATCATCTTAACTCCTGTTATTTCATTATCCCCTCTCCTTAATAATGTTTCTCTTTTTTTTTTCATATTTTTTCAAACTAAGTAAGTCCTTGCGTCTTAGTGGCTTTATTGCCTTGCTAGAAGCTTTATGTATTATTTTGTATTTATAGTCAGTGCTACTGGTACTGTGTACACCAGCCAAATCTAAACGATGGTCGGTTTATCGCCGGCCAAACCGGTTGCCCCTCTCTCTTCTGGTGAGTAGGGTGACTAAGACACTCTTCTCCTTTATGTGCCGTGTCTCTTTAGGACGTAGGCGATCATTGTCTTCTCCAATTTCCTGTCCCTAGTAGCTAAATATTAAACTTTGTCTTTCTGTTATTTCTCCCACGCCCTGTTCCGCCATCCATTTACTGAAGCTCACTAGGAATGATATGCGTTGTTTTCCTCTGTCCCTCTTGCCCGCTCTCTGTCCTGTGAGTATCAGATTTTCCAAGTCCTCCTTCCTCACTATATTCCATAGAAATCTCAACTGTCTCTTCCTGGTGTTAAGTATTAGTTACCTTTTTGTCTCCATTCTCTCCAAAACTTCGTCGTTACTTACATGTTGGGTATCTTCAACATCCTTCTGTAAAACTAGATTTCTGGTGCTTCAAGCCTCGTTTTCATCTTTGAGATGATCGTCCAGCATTCACTTCCATACAGGAAGGCCGATAACGCATAACACTTTAGTACTCTTTTCCTTGTTTCTAGCGAAATGTTCTTATTTCTCGGTATTGTGATTAGCTTCCGGTCGAATTAAAAATCACTTTCTGCCAGAGGGCAGATAAATCATTTCCTGGGATCAAAGGTCATCGACCACAGGCGCTGGTATGTAAACATATTTGGATTCGTGTCTATGTTAAGCCTTCATTAAGGTCTTCATCTAAATGAAGGAATAGTCACATGTAATACCTACGGCTTGACGACATACAATGACGTTGACTGGATCTCCTTTATGGATACATGCCGTTCTGCCCCAAGGAGTGGGACTGACACAACTTTCTCCACTTTAAAAAGTTTATTCACAGCCATTGCTTGCTATATTGTTACGACTGCGTTTTGCAATGATATCTTCCAATGGCCGTACTCGGTAATGAGATGGCACCCTTTATAGCGATTTTCCAAGTATAGATTAGATGATGCACAAGTCCGAAAATATAGGGCACCCAGTGAGGATCGAATTCACTGCTCAGTCGTAATTGTTCATAGCAAGACAAGCTTGCTAACCATTACACCGCCTCGAGGCGCCACAGGTAACACGCATTATATTTTGTATTAATATTTATTTTATTATCTAAAAATTCACAAAGACTGCGAAAATGACATGTGAAGAAAGAAAGTTACAACCTAATGAAAAGAAGGAATATGAAGGAATGAGAAAAAAAAGGAAAGCAAAAGTAACGTTGAAAGAGCGGGAGGGGGAGAAGGAAAATTGAAATGAAATCTGAAAGAGTGAAAAGAAAAGAGAAAATAAGACAGGAAAGAATAGATAAAAATAAATTGTAATGTGACAAAAAGTAAGAGAAAATGAAAGGAAACGTGAAGAAAAAAACTGAAGGTGAGGAGAAAAATTGATGAAAGTTACAGGAAGGAAAAACAGGAAACAAAGAAAGAGTTAATGGAAGAAAGATGAAGAAGTATAATGAAACTATGCGAAGAAGAACGACTAGAAAAAGACAAAATGGAAAAAGAAAATATGACTTTAAGAAATAGTTAAATGAAAGAAGAGAAATAAGGGGTCATTAAGACCTTTTCGACAATTCGATTTCTTGAGAATGATAGTGTTATCATCAATAAATTTTGCATTGTAAGTGATTGTGCCTCCTCCGTATATATATATATATATATATATATATATATATATATATATATATATATATATATATATATATATATATATATATATATTATATTTATTTATTTATTTGTGTGTGTGTTGGAAAATGAAATTAAAATAAACATTTATTTTTTGTAAGTGAATGTAGTAGAATTCGATCTCGACTCTCCGATTCCTCAATCCAAGGCGCTATCCATTACTCCACCGAGCCTCCGCCGTATGCGCGTGTGTGTATATATATATGTATATATATATATATATATGTCCGTGTGTGTTGGAAAATGAAATTAAAATAATAAAAATAAACATTTTTTTTTATATATTTTCGCATGTACACTTATTTTTTTGTTTTTTAGGTACGCTGTATTTATTTTTAAATTAAAAGTAATGTATACAAGTGATGTCAAAATTTTAGCAGACGCGCTGTTTTCTTGTTTAATTTTTTTTATTATTGTAGACGCTTTTATCGTCTGATTTTGTATACCAGCGGTAAAAGGAAAGAAAAGGTATCTGATCTTCTTATTTTACCTATATAGGGTCTTCTAGTGCGTACACAAATTTACTCGCTTGAGTTTAACCACGCCTTGGAGATGCTCATAAAAGAGCGAGTTCACGCCTTTCGAGAAGTTTTTCTGCTATCGGCTGACGGGACTTGAGCACATTTAGGCAGAAGAGAGAGTGACGTCATCTCCCCCTCGTTCCTCAACTCAAGAAAGTTTTTTAACACGAGCAGTAGGGATCGTTTCCATGACAACGAAAAACGCAGAAAGGAGCAACATGTCACTTCATGAAGAATGCGATTTTGTGAGCTAAAATGTTACTTTTTCAAAATAAGCAGTAGAAGTAAGCCGATATTTTAAAGGGTTAAATTAAATTTAAAACCCGTTATTAAGTCCTTTAATGTTCGCATTATAATTTCTTTGTAAAAAATAAAATGAATTAAAACGGCCAAGATGAACATAGCTGAGTTATCTTTTTCGTTCCGCTTGTAAGTAAACCAATGACTTTATTATATGTTTGGCTTTAAATGGCTGGGAAAAATATCGTTTTTGCTTAAAACCATTATTAGTGCAATTCAAGTACTATTCTATTTTGGCTAAATATAACTGTTGTTCGTAGCGTAAATAAAGTTTCTCTTTCTTATTTCTATGAACAGCAAGCTTTTGTCGTTTGTTTCTTTCGCTGTCTTATTTACATTTTTAACCTTCATATTGGACTTGTTGTCGCTTGTTTCCGAACAGGAGAAATTTCATGATAATATTCTACCAAGTTGCCCTTTATTTTATTATTTTTTTGTTGTTGTTTCTCGTATTATCGTCCCGTAAACGTTCAAGATCTCAGGCGTCAACTTCCAATTTATTTTCCTGATATATATATAGTTGTCTGTAAACACATGAAAGGACGGAAAACTATATCGGGAAGTTCATTTTGAACGAACTGCCTCACAATACAGATTTATTTTATTTCTGTATATATATATATATATATATATATATATATATATATTATTTTTAAAAAAATTTTATAACATAAGTATGTTATAAAATCACTAAAAAAATAGCCATTTTGTTTCAACACACTCTGTGTCTTATCAAGTGATGGTGTTGAAAAGAAAATAAATGGTTTTAAAAGTTTCAGATTAATTAACGATCCTACACTAGGGGGGGGAGCATTGTTACAAAAGCCAGAATAACCAATCAAAAACGAAGTACAGAAAGATTCAAAAAGCTTGACAACAAAATCCTGCTATTATAGCTATTTAGATCTTTAAATACGTGTAATATTAAAAATAATTTATACTAACTAATAATTATAAATTTATATGATAAAATTTAATATTAAAATTAAAAACTGGCAATTTTTAAAATCCAAATTTAATCACTATTAAGTTTAAAAACTACAAAATTATTGAGAAAAGAAAAAAATATATATGTTTATTCAATTCATTTCTTCATTGAAATTACGTCTGACAAGACAAGACGCTACAATTCGTCCGGTCATCTGATAATACATGTATATATATTTTTTCTTTTCCGTTTTTATTTTAAAGTTTGTGAATATGGTCTTAAACTCACGCGTGACACAACAAAAACACAATCAGATTATAATACATAAGCATCCAGACATAATTAGATACACACACACACACACACACACACACACACACACACACACACACACACACAAAAAAAAAAAAAAAAAAAAGAAGAGGTAGGGGGAATACATGAACAACTCCACAGCCCTTTACGAAAAAAGGAGACGTGGAAACTAACACTTATACACACACACAGTTAAATGTGAATACACTCTACATACATATAGACACCGATATATACACAAACATACATCCACAATGGCATAGACATTGAGAAATCACAACCAGTAAATATTTCAGACTTAAATAAATGCTAACCACTTATTGAATTATAACTTAAGGGAGCAAATATACAAAGATAAAAATGTTTAAAATAATATTATTTAATATATTAAAACGAAAATTCTAAAACAATAAATATCAATAAAAATATGTATATATTATTAATCATATAAGTTGATAATAGTTTCATTATATATTTTGGCAAAGAAAAAACAGGATAAAGAAATCCACAAATATATACATATATATATATATATACACGGCAGCAAAAAACAATTAACACACAAAAAAAAATATATATATATATATATATATATATTCATACATACATATACGTACAGAAATACACACAAATAAATATATAAACATAAACATATACGTACATATACATATCTATGATAACAAGTACATATGTACGTACATATACATATAAACCTAAATACACACACATATATACACATAGACTTTTATGCACACATACTTAGATATATAAAAAACAGTCATGATATACCAAAGTTTCCATACCTACACATACACACAAACTCATACATAATAGGTGCCAACACACACACATATATATATACATACACAAACATACATAAATATATATACACACATACATACATATCTACAAATAAACATATATATATATACATAAATATATCTACCTACAATAACAACTACCCATATATACATGCATACATAAAAATACAACAACTTTCAACCAAATACATATATAAACGAACTAACATATAGATACATAAATATACCTTCAAACACCAACACACAGCAATATACATATAGTCTAACATACAAATATATAAACACATTCATACAAACAGAAATATACTTAAATATAAATACACATACACAATAAAATAGGACATACCGATATATATACACATATATATATATGCACACACGCATATATATATACACACATACATACACACATACATATACACATACATATATATATATACAAATATATCGTGGCACAAAGCCGAAATCAGGGGGCACCCAGTGAGGAACGAACTCATTACTCAGTCGCACCCAATCTAGCGAACCATGCTGGCCAACCATTATACTGCCGTGATTCAATCATATACATACCTGTACATACTCATACATATACACATGCACACACATACATACATATACACACATACACATATATATGCATATATACATATATATATATATATATATATCCAACCATATACACACACACACACATATATATATATATATACATATATATATATACAAACATGTATATATATATATCTACATACATACATACATATACACACATACACACACAAATACATACATATATACACACACCCATACACACATACATATATAGGCACACACATACACATATACAGTAATAATTATTAACCTATTCTCTCATAATCTACCTTACCTTCCCACATAATATATATATATATATACACACACACTCACATATATATACATACATACATACCCCACACATACACCCACACATGTAAAAAAAAAAAAAAAAAAACCATAAATACATTTATACACCAACCTACACATTCCTCAGTGCAAATACTCTAACCAACACATAAATAAATATATACATATTTACACCAACACTGATAACACTATGCAGGTAAACAATACACACTTATATCGTAAGTATGACCATTATGCAATAAAAAATCTAATCTATTAAAAATACAGCGACATATCATTATCATTTAAAGTATACGACCCCTACACTAAGTTAAATTTATAACGGTGTTTACAATTTACTGTCAGTTCATATCTTTGATTTAAGAGATCAGCCTTGTTTTTAAATCTAATAATTTCAAATTTTTCATTAAGGCATAGGTAACATGGGATATATAGGGAGTTACATGTACGAGCTTTCGTAACCAAACTCCATTTAATCGTAGGTGTTTTTTTTTTTTTTTTAAATGGCTATTTTTGTAGTGATTTTATAACATACTTATGTTATAAAAATTTTTTTATAAAAATAATTATATCTGCTCTACTTTGTATTGAGCACTCTTTTAAGAATAGTAATTGTTGGTTATTGGAATTCATTCCGTGTATACCAATTATATACTTTGGTATATATATATATATATATATATATATATATATATATATATATATATATATATATATATATATATACGAACATGGCCAAATGTACTAACTGTGTTAGGAAAATAAAACAAGGTCCGAAAATTTATTTATTAAAGACATTTTTATGTTTAACGTTGTTTTTTATAGATACAAGTATTTAAGTAAATGCTCTGTTTATGATAAAGTATTAAATAACATTTACCTGTTTATCATAAACAGAGCATTTACTTAAATACTTGTATCTATAAAAAAACAACGTTAAACATAAAAATGTCTTTAATAAATAAATTGTCGAACTTTGTCCATTTCTATATATATATATATATATATATATATATATATATATATATATATATATATATATATATATTAAAACACGTAAATTTCAGAAATAAGTTATTCCAAAAAAATTTCGCTTGAAAATGGAACAGAGCTTACTTTAACTCAATTTAATTCAAATAATTATATTGAAGTTTTCGGCTCTTGTTTTGAAACATGAGACCTCTTATGTCGCGAGTTGGAATCATATTTTTAAATAAATAAATATATATATATATATATATATATATATATATATATATATATATGAAAAACTATCCATTAGTAAAGCTAGCCATGCGTGTTCAAACTATTACAATAAGCTATTTGATGGGAAATTTAGTACTCTATGAAAGAGCTGTGAATAAGACAATTTTGCAAGCATTATTCAGGGGAAGAGAAGATTTTTAGAGCCCACCGCATGGATCTGTTGCTGTTAAGAATTGTATGCAACTGACTTCATAATGGTTGAATTAAAATATGTAGCTTAGTTAGAACAAAATCGAATGGATGACGGACTTAGCGTCATAAATGTGCGTTGCGTAACTATTTTAGTACACTCACGCAGGTTTCTATAAGAATTGATGTATGTATACTCTTTGTATATACAACCATCGACCAACGACAGTCAAAATAATATCTTATGTTCCCTTCTCACAAATGTGCATCTCATGTGTATAACCTCCCGCTATCTGGCCCGACGCAAGCGAATACACCCAGACAGGCGTGCACATCTACACTCGAACAGTGCGTCGAAAATAATTTTGTACGTGGTTATTCGCAAATTGACGGTGGCGTCTCGGCCTGAACATTTTTCCCGCTAGGATCAACATTCTATATTGGTAATTTGTTATTCCACAAATGCCAATTATCCATTCAAAGAAATTGTTCCTCTTTTATTCGTTACGCCGTTCCTTATTTGTTCCCATGCTTCTATCCCGGACCCAGTTCTGCCCCCACTGCCGTCGTGAATGCCATTGCTCGGTGAGCCTGTGTCACAAGAATGGAAACGAAGAGACATGCAGCAACTCTAAGACATCAGCAAATGTCAATAACAACACAATTCTAGTCCCGATTCCTGCCAGGCTGATCTTTGTACAAGTTTTTCTCGTTCCATATGTGGACTAAATGCGTCCATGTGATCAGACATTGCCGAGCACCAACTTTATTACATTTTAGCGACAAATATATTCGACAGAATGAAGAACATATAAAACTTTTTTTTGCCAGATATTTCGCCGCCAGAAAAACATCTCTTCTCCACTGAATGAAATAATAAAAACTTGGACCAATAACTCTTTTCGAAACTTATATATATATATATATATATATATATATATATATATATATATATATATATATATGTGTGTGTATGTGTGTGTATGTGTGTGTGCGTGTGTGTGCGTATGTGTGTGTGCATATATGTATTTATACTTGTTTATATGTAGAGATAAATATGTAAATGTATATATATGTATATATTTTTATTTTCGAAAGTGCTCACTACGAAATCTCTCTATATGTAAGGATTAATTTATAACAATAAAATTATCAAAGACGCAAACGTAATGACGTATACTGCTCAATGTAAAAATCAAAATACATAGAAAATATACAATAGACACACACACACACACACACACACATATATATATATATATATATATATATATATATATATATATATAAAATCAAAACAAAAGAAAAGTTCTGGAGATGAACAGTATTCTTTTCTTCCTTTACTGTCCAGTCAGATAAAATGTAAAAAGTCTTAATTCTCAGACTTCGAAAGTCTTCAACACATCTTAAACAACAGATAATTCCTGGAGTTATAAACCCATATTCACCCAGAATATATAATTCACAAGTAATGTAACCACTGATATAAGAAGTAACTTTTAAAGGTCTTTGTATCACGGATGGGATCCATTGAATAAACACGTCAAAACTTTCATTCATTCTAATGACTATAAAAATATGACATGCATAAGGCTTTATAACAAGTAAGCATTTGCAAAATACACTGAAGCGTATATATATATAATAAAAAGGCTTAAACACTAATACCCCATGGTCATAATTTATTCCATTGGAATCGTAAATATGATCCAATTCATCAGACCTACAAATTCAAAAAGAAAACAGAAAAAACAACTCCGGAAATAAAAAATAAAATTTAGTGAGATTGTATGTATGAGAGTGTGGGACGAATGTTAGAGTAAATGAAAGCTATAGGGAGGGGTAAAGCTATAGGGTGGGGTAACAGTGTTACCTATCCCTATAGCTTTCATTTATGTAACTTTCTTTGTCTTAAGAGCATTTGTATGCAGATTCACCAAAGAAGTTTTTAGTAGTATTTATTCCAATTTTTATCACAATCAATCGACAGAAATTGGAATTTTTAAATTTTCGACCTCTAACATATGAAAGGAAAGAAAACAAAAAAGTGACTAAAATAAAGTTTAGTATCGAACTTTAAAAGTATGACGGAGATTTTTTAAGTGTAGCTTAGATGTGGCATAAAGTCGAAAGTGTGGAACACCCATTGAGGATCGAATACATTATGTAGTTTTAATTAATCTCGGAAGAGAGGCTTGTTAACCATTACACCACGTCGAAGTGAACAATCTGCGAAAGAACACTGAACACAATATGAAATATTTGCTGAAAAACTGTAAGGCTGAAGCATATCAAAACTTCAGGTTAATTTTAAGGTTAATTTTGCTTGCTTATTCGTTTTATATTCACTTCTTCTTGTCTTCTACTTTCTCCACCTACTTCCTTCTATTACCATTCTTCTTCTTCTTCTTCTTCTTCTTCTACTACTACTACTACTACTGCTGCTGCTGCCATTCTTCTTGTTCATCGTCTTTCTCATCTTCTTTTTCCTCCTCCTACCACCATTCTTCTTCTTGTCTTCTTCCTCCTTCTAACATGATTTTCCGTCTTCTTTTCCTCTTCCCCTCCTTCGATCATTACCATTCTTCTCCCCTTCTTCTACTACTATTACTATTTCTGCTGATGCTGCTCCTACTACTACTACTACTGCCATTCTTCTTGTTCATCGTCGTTTTCGTCTTCATTTTCCTCCTCCTACCACTATTCTTCTTCTTGTCTTCTTCCTCCTTCCAATATGATTTTTCGTCTTCTTTTCTTCTTCCCCCTCCTTCTATCACTAACATTTTTCTTCTTCTTCTTCTTCCTCTTCTTCTGCCTTCTATCTTTTTTCTTTTTCTTCTTGTCTTTTTTATCTTCTTCCTTCTACTACTACTACTACTACCATTCTTCTTGTTGTCTTTTTCTTCTTCTTCCTCTTACTACTACCATTCTTCTTGTTGTCTTTTTCTTCTTGTCTTTTTACCATTCTTCTTGTTGTCTTTTTCTTCTACTACTACTACCCATTCTTCTTGTTGTCTTTTTTCTTCTTCTTCTTCCATTCTTCTTGTTGTCTTTTTTTCTTCTTCCTCTTACTACTACCATTCTTCTTGTTGTCTTTTTTCTTCTTCTTTCTTGTTGTCTTTTTCTTCTTCTTCCTCTTACTACTACCATTCTTCTTCTTGTCTTTTTCTTCTTCTTCCTCTTACTACTACCATTCTTCTTCTTGTCTTTTTCTTCTTCTTCCTCTTACTACTACCATTCTTCTTCTTGTCTTTTTCTTCTTCTTCCTCTTACTACCATTCTTCTTCTTCTTTTCCTTCTTCCTCTTACTACTACCATTCTTCTTCTTGTCATTTTCTTCTTCTTCCTCTTCTACTACCATTCTTCCTCTTGTCATTTTTCTTCTTCTTCTTACTACTACCATTCTTGTCTTCTTCTTTTCTTCTACTTCTTCTTCCTACTATCATTCTTCTTTTTTCTTCTTCTTGTCTTCTTTATCTTCTTCTTCCTCCTCCTACTACCATTCTCCTCCTTCTTTTTTCTTCTTTTTCCTCTCACTACTACCACTCTTATTCTTCATCTCCTTCTTACCAGAAACTACCAAGCATTGCTCCATGCAGCGCCAAGTGAAGCAAGACAT